TGGGAGGCTGCAGGCAGGAGTGGGGGGTAGGACGGAATGGAAGTCAGACAGGTGTGGGTGGTGCCAGATCATGACTAACACACCCTCGAGTGGCTGCGCTGGTACAGATCTGTGGACACACCGTGTCATCCACACGTCTCAGTCCCTGTGGCGACAGGAAGATGATTCTTCCAGGGCACTTTGTCTTTGACCGGAGAAACAGGACTGGTGGAAGGGACTGGAATACAAAAATATGGTCCAACTTGAAAGTTTACCCAAAAGGCGAAAATTGTGCTTGCCTGGTTGAAGAATCAGCCGGCCATATCACGTCCCAGATTCTCTTCACGGAAGGGCACGTCCCTGCGCCTCCAGGAGTTCTCTGTGGTTTCTGGTGCACTGCCATAATTTTTCAGTGACAGTTTAGATGTATGTTCTTCTGGTTAGTACCTGGCCATGGACTTTAAAAGCCCCAGTCACAAGGGCAGCTGGATCTAGGAGCTCAGATAGTATCACCCGCTCTGCCTCGCTCAGAAGCTCACGCAGATGCTCTCCTGAGGCCTGCCGCAGCCCAGGGCCCTCACCCCCACCCCCGCTTCCCTGGCAGAGGGAATATAGGCCGTGTATCTGCCCCTGGAGAAAACTCCTAGGAAGGCCCCGTCCCTGAGTAGGCCAGGGGCTGAGGCTCTCTGGCTGCCCGTGGGCAGCGGTGGAGAGGGGACGTCAGCCCTGCCACGGGCTTCATGGGCTTGAGAAGCTTTGTGACCAGAATAGGAAAGGTAGGCTGGGCAGGCTACAAGAGTGGCTCTTGATGACGGCTGGTACCACAGATCCTTTGCACTGTTGCCTCAGCTTTGTGCTCTGAAGGACAGGACGTCCGAGGTGGGAGGAGTGGACTCCCTTCCGGTTCTTCACACTGACCTTGAAAGTTACCCTGATCTATCTACTTTGACAGGCAGGGAGGGCTGGATCCCATTTTCTAGACCAGTGGCTGCCACGTTTTTTCATTTCACAGGCCAGAAGCACTTTTTTTTTTTTTTTTAAGGTGGGGGTGGGGAGGTCCCAGGAGAAAGAAAAACAGAAAAAGAAGAGTAGGTCACTGAGTTCCCAACTTGTAAAACAAAACCCAAGTAAACGTCTCATTTCATAACAGGCCGCCGTCCGCCTCCCGGCTAGGCGCCCGGCGGGTCTGCCAGAAGGGCAGGGGCTACAACCCGGTCTCTCAGTTCTCAGTCTTGCCCCCGTTGCTGTGTTCCTCGGGGTCTGTATTCATAAACCGCCCCCCCCCCCAACTTAAAACTCTAGTTCTCTTTGTCTAGGGCTTTTCCACCATGTCATGATTCAGGTTTGAGATTGTCTGGCCGGAACCACAAGCAAAATTGGTCACTGGCATCCATCACAGTTCAGTTCTGGACAACAGATTCTTTTGATGAAGATTCTTGCTGCACACCAGCTTATTAACTTAGAAACAAAGCTGATTGGTGTTTGGGAGGCTTCGCGTTATAAAATTCCTCCCTCCCATGCAAATCTCGAGAACTCACTATGCCTCTGACAACTGCCGTAGGCACTGGGGATCCAGCAGTGAACAAGATTGAAGTCCCTGCCCTGGGAAAAAAAATCGACATTCTAGGGAAGGGAGACAGACAAATAAATTTAAAAGTCACTTCAGTTAGCATAAGTGCTAGGAAGAAATTATGGAGGTACTTCTGATCCACGGATTCACCTTTTGGATGGCAGTGAAGTCAAGCCTGTTTTATACCAAATCCCATGATCTTGTGGGCTTCCCTGTGTTTGGGGGGTGGGGGTCCCTGCAAAGCAGCAGCACTGGTGGGGAAGGGGAAACAGCTGGCTCCAGGCAGAACTGCAGGTAAGAAGAACTGGATTCTCAAGGGTCTGTTTTTATCCGGATCCCAAAGAGGCAGTGCGGTGGATCCAGGTGGGACCTGGACTGGCACTGCCATCAAAGAGTCACAGAGCGCAGATGACCGCGGGTGCGGAGGGGGGAGGGCGGGCGCTTCGCTGTCCAGTACTAGTGTGCGTGCATGCCCCTGTGCTGGGCACCGGCTGGAATGCTGAAGGCATTGCCTCCTGTGATCCCCCAAATCTCGATGAGCTGGTTCTCTTATCCCCACTTGCCAGGTAAGGACATTGAGACGTAAAAATGATTTGCCCGAGGCCGCAGGGACGGTAAGCGGTGGAGTCGGAAAGTCGCACTTCAGAGCCTGGTGGCTTGTGCTCTGCCACAATCCGGGATGAACTGGCCAGCAGTGCCAGGGGCGCCAGCCAGTTAGAATGGGGTTCTAGGCAGAAGTCAGGGCCCCCGGGTGTGAGCTGGTCCAGCGCATTCAACGGTGATGCTTAGGGGAGGGGCTCATCATGCTGGGCCGGCGCAGGTGCTCAGGGCCGTACCTCTGGGCCTACAGCAGCAAAGCAAGACCACCTCCAGATCCCAGCGGCCTCGGGCGGAAGCTGTTAAAATCTGCCTTGGCGTGGCCGGGGCTTTCTTCCAGGCCCCGTGGCCACTGGTTGCTGAGCAGGGGGTGGGAGCAGAAGGGGGTTATTTGCCACCACAGTGTGCTTTTGGCATGCACTGTCCTTCCTCTTCTGTGTCAGGGTTACCATCAGAGGTG